CTGCTTTAGTGTTGATTCTATTGGCTTATGATAGGATGTGTCTTGGTTTGTGGAAAGGTGTTATGTCTGCCATACTTATAAGGGAACTGCACAAAACACTGAATTATACATGCCTCTTCTTACTCTGGAATCCATTTGGGATTACTTGAGTATTGATTTTGTCTTGGGCCTTTCGTGGACAAAAAGTGGAGCTGATTCTATTATGATTATTGTCGAGAGGTTTTCCAAAACAGCTCATTTTATCCCGTGTAAAAAGACATTCGATGCACTTAATGTGGTATGTCTTTCTTTCAAAGAAATTGTGTGCTTACATGGACTACCGTGAAGTCTCACATTTGATCGTGACGTGAAATTCATTAACCAATTTTGGAAAGAATTGTGGAAACGTCTTCAAACCGAACTAAAACTCATCTTTACTTATCATCCGCAATCTAACGGTCGGATGGAGATGGTCAATTGTACTCTTGGAAACATGTTGCATTGTTTAGTTCAACAACATTCGAAGAAATGGGAGGAGCTACTAACCAATTTTGGATAGAATTGTGAAAATGTCTTCAAACCGAACTAAAACTCAGCTTTACTTATCATCCGCAATCTAATGGTCGGACGGAGATGGTCAATTGTACTCTTGGAAACATGTTGCATTGTTTAGTTCAACAACATTCGAAGAAATGGGAGGAGCTACTACTGAGTCAAGTTGAGTTTGCATTCAATTTGATGCTGAATAGATCCATGGGATACTACTGCCCCTTAAAATGCCAAGCCACTTAATTGATGTTGCCATCCTATCTAAGTGTCGCAGTACTACAGCAGCTCAAACAACCGAACAATTCACAAACATTGTGCTGGAGGTCCAAGCCAAATTAAATGAAACTAATTATAAGTACAAACAACTAGCTGATATTCATCAACGACACAAAATATTCCATCCCGGCAATCTAGTGATGTTACGTGTAAGCTGAGTTGCCAAAGTTTTCCTTCTAGGTTTGTTGTCGCTGTTGTGAGACATCAAATATCATTTTGAATTTATAAATATAACATGATTTAGTGACATACATGTAAATCTGCTCAAAATTTTAGCACCTTTGTGTATGTAGCTCGAAGGATATTCTTAGACATCTGATTCCACGTCTTCATTAACTGAACTTGCAACACTCATTGCCCAAGCAGTAGCACCTACAAGGAATTATATTATTTTGTGTTCTAAAAGCTGTCCTAAGTTGTAAAAGTGCTAATGTTACTGCTTTCTAAGGTACTATATCAACATTTTGTAGTTTACAAGCATAGTTTATCACCTTTTTGAAAATTTAATCCGTGTTTTGGATATTTATACTATATGAATTATTAAATTGGTTCATTAGTACTACTGTTCCTTTTGGGCCTTTTAACGCTTGAGCATATTGTAAGCACCAGTTTTAGTTGTCTCATTTCGAGGAGAAATTATTCTGTGCGGATGCCGAACATAGCTCTACGTTCAGAGGCGAATCAGGCACAATCACATTAGCGGTATTGAGCAGTACCGAGCGAAGGGGTGATGTGGCGCATTCTGGTTGATCTCCAGACGACATTCGGCGCCCGCAAAAAATAATTTCTCTATTTTTCGAGATACTTAATGCATGGTTATATTTTGTGTTGTATTATGTACATAACATAATAATCTGTTTTGGCTGATTCAACATGCACTTTGCAGCACTAGCAAGTACGTCAATTTAGACCAACGTGTTATATAGTGAAAGGGTCATAAATGATATTGCTGCATGTTTTTCCCTCTAAATTTTATGATCAATGCAAGCTTTTGGATTGTCTTTTTGGAAATTTTCCTTCTTCTATTCCTTTTTTTTATTCCTTGTGATATATTTGGTTCAGCCTTTTGTCTTTTACATGGATTTTGTCTCCGTTTCATCCACAATCAACGCCATTCTTATTTCTTGTATCTTTTTCCTTGAATCAAAGGCTTAAAACGCTAATCAGGTTGCCTTCACTGTGATTAAGGCTTCGTTTAGGACGGCTTTTTTATTGTTTCTTAAAACAACTTTTTAGTACAAAAATTTTAATTTTTGAACTAAAAAACTACTTTAAGAAACAGAAAGAACGTCGTCCCAAATGAAAGCCTAATTTTAATTTTAATTTTTTTTTAGTTTTGAGCACTATGTTTTGTAATATTTTCTTACGACCCGTTCTTCTGGTTCTTTGTTTTCTTTTCCAAAATTTTTTTCATACTTTGTTATTAGCATTTTCTGAGATTTGTTGTATGCCCAGAGATCTAATGATAGTGGTATTATTTGGTTATTATAGTCTTTAAATATTATAAGTATTGTGCTAATTAAGTTATTATTTTATGATTTGATGTACTATACTTAAAGAAACTGATAACAGTTGAAGAATTTAATTATGTTTCTCTTTTGTCTATGAATGAACCATTTTGGTCTTCAGCACCGTGGCTTCTGATGACTAGAACTTTCGTAAGTCTGGATGGAGGCCTAAATGCTACCATGCGTAAATATTTTGACATGGGGATAGTATTTAGTGAGATTTAGGGTTTATTTTATTATTTGATGTACTAGAAACAGCAGTAGTGTTGCTTCGGATGACTAGAATTTGAAGCTGTTGAAAGTAACGTCGCTTCTTCATTGTACAATAAGGCTTTGTTTGGGACAGTTTTCGTATTACTTTTTAAAGTAATTTTTTAGTATGAAAATTTTTAGTTTAAAAAATTTTTGTATTAGAAGTTGTTATAAAAAGCCTTAAGAAAATTATCCCAAACGAAGATTAATATTGTTGCATCTTGGAGTATCCGCGGCGGTAGAGAAAAATAAAGTTTAGCGTCTTAGCATTGTGCGAAAATTCGGCACGCAATCAGATAATAGAGAGGGTGTAGCATTTATGAGACATCAAGATTTTTATGTGAAAAATTCCTGAAAAGGGGGAAAAACATGGGCCCTAGCTCAGTTTGAATGAATCCACTATTATTTGCAGTTGATTACAAATGAGGCCCTTCCTTGGGGAAGACCTTAGCTTGATGTATATATTATACAGTACATTATATGAGGTGAATACAAAGAATCATTGTTGATGTGTTTGTTTGGTCAGAAGGATTGTAGTCGGTGGGCGACGTAAGTCAGGACCGTAGTCGGTAGGTGATATAGGTCGGAAGGATCGTAGTCGGGGGACAACGGAGATCGGAAGGACTGTAGTCGGCAGGCGCCAGAGGTCGGAAGGATCGTAGTCGGGGGACAACGGAGATCGGAAGGACTGTAGTCGGCAGGCGCCAGAGGTCGGAAGGATCGTAGTCGGGGGACAACGGAGATCGGAAGGACTGTAGTCGGCAGGCGCCAGAGGTCGGAAGGATCGTAGTCGGGGGACGACGGAGGTCGGAAGGACTGTAGTCGGTGGGCGACGTAAGTCAGAAGGAACGTAGTCGGCGGGCGACGAAGGTCGTAATGATTGTAGTCGGTGGGCGACGTAAGTCAGAAGGA